AATCATGCAATGCAATAAGACCAGGCCCCTTGGGTTCGCATGTACCCTCTCAAAACGTGAAATTATGTGATGGATTTAATTTTTTGTGACAGGTATATCCCAGTGCTCTGTTCTGGGTCTTTAATTAATTTGCACAATTTCCTGTTACCTGCCTTGTGATGCTATCTTCATAAACAATGTAGGGCGTGGAACAGCTAAAGGGAATAACTGCAACTTACAGGATGACTAATAAACCTCGTCCTGTCAGACATTCACCTTATGTAGCAGCAGTAGTGCGTCCCCTAAAGGTATGCAGTCGCTAGACTAACGATATTCTAGGGAACTGTGATGCAAAACTGGGTTTTTCAGATAAGGTGGGGTAAAGTGTCAGTCGGTGTGTATTGAGGTGTCAGATTCATCTAATATTCAAACCTTAGGACATGGAGACATCTTTAATTTGTCTACTAAATCACATGTTTTAATGTGATGATGTTGATTTACCTAGTTATAAAGGTACAATTTCCGAAAAAGAGAAAAATAATATGATTAATTGGATCCCTGTCCTAACCTTTATCGTTACTTCAAATAAGATCGGTTCTTAAACTATAAAACAATCTTACCTTGTGCTAAATGCACTAGGTAAAACTGGAACATCACTCTATTTGACAGTGGTTTAGATTGACTATTAATCTGTAAAATATGCAGTATATTTTGAGCTTCAGAATATTTTCTCCAAATTATAAATTTTATACTGATCTGCCAACAACTCCCAGGCTTTTTGGGAAGGAGAACGAGCTACAAAGTATCTGACAAGTGATACTAAGCTTGAGGTGCTGCTTAGTGCTGCAACTGAGATTACCGGTCATTATTATGAGACAGCTGATAATGTCATCAGTATGGTAAGTGTCCAGATTCTGAGATGAACCTTAAAATATATAACCTTCTAGGATTCATAGTTGCATAACTCTTAACTCCTAACTATTGTTGCCAGGCTAGGAGAACGGCATCTTCACTCCAGAGAATAAGGCAAGGTGCACAAAGACGAGGCGGAGCAAGTTCAGATGTCTCAGATCAGAATGTTTCGGACACTGACAAGATTTCCATGCAAATTTTCCTTGACATTCAGGTAAGAACTGGCCTACAGATTTGCATTCAAATTTTCCTTGACAAGATTTGTGTGTTGTGTTGTGTCACTGTGAGTGCATATTAATGTTCTTTTGTCACACTGGTTTATACCCTATGATGTAAAACTAATTTTATTTATGCTGCTGAGTTGGTGGATCTCAAGCAACTGGGTAGCAAATTATTGATTTGATGCAATAGGATTAATGTTGGCATATATTATTGTCAGGAGTATGGCCGTAATCTCGCAGCCCTTGGTGTTGATGTTGCGAATATTGAGACATTCCGTTCCTTGTGGCAATCCGTTGCTCCTGCAGAGAGGCAAAGTGAGATTAGTTTCTAAAGTTTTGAGCATTTGGTCTTGAGCTGATTGTAGATGTTACGTTTTTCCTTTTAGAATCCAATCATATGTTTTTGTAAGTATGGCGAAATGCATTTTTACTGCAATAGTTGGCTATTGAACATTAGTTCTTGGTGCGTTTTGCATTTCTATGATTGGAAGACTTAAATTTTTTTTCCTTTTGTCCGACTCTTTTTAAAATATTTTTAAGAGATATTTAGTCATATACCTATTCTTAGCACTAATAATATGGATAAACTCTACACCATTTAATTTATATAAACAAACCCAAAAAAAAACCCAAAAAATGACAGTTGGGCCAATTGAATTTAATTTTGATTATTAAATTACTTCGATGTATTTCTAAAGTCCATTTCATATAGGGTTTTTTTATAATTTGGGCTCTTATATTGGGTATAATAGTGAATCTCCCTATTTTTAAATGTGGGTTTCTGACACTCTCATCAACCAAAATATTGCAAGGTTTCGATTTAATGACAAAATAAGGTGCAAAATAAATGTATGAATTGGAGTAAACCCGCAACCTTTGTACTCATAACCTGGATTCGCCTAATCTGCCAAGCATTCTCTTTAAGCTCTTGGGTGTTATAAACATGCAAAACACTCCACCTCATGATATGAACCTCAAAAGTGTGAATTTGTGTGTTAAACAATTACATCTTGGGGTTGTGTGAATGAATTTGGTAATTTGAAGTTTTGTAATTCATCGCAAAAGCCTAAAGTGCACTCATCACGGGACTGGATTCTCTTAATCTACTAAGCATTCTCTTTAAGCTCTTGGGGTGTTATATGCCCACAACCCTATAATGATTTTCTGCATTTTGGGGTTGTGTGAATGAATTTTCGCATATTGGGATTTTGCAAATACATTTTGTCAATTCAGGTTTCCTATTTGCTGTTCATTAAACCCATAAAAGCAAAAATTCATAAGGCTTTGTGAATGAATTTTCGCTTCAGGATCTGCTAATGAATATTTTTATTTTGTGGCTTTGTGAATGTATTTTTCACATTTTACGGTTTTGTTAATGAATTCGCTTGTTTGGGTTTCATGAATGAGTTTTCGCATTTCCGAATTGCAAGAGTGGAATTTTGCCTTTCGGATTCGTTTCAAAATTTTCACATTCAGCGTTCGGAATTTCAAGAATAAATTTTGGATTTTGGGGTTGGGTGAATGAATTTTCTTTTTTTGGTGTTATGCTAATGTCTTTTCACATTTTGGAGTTTCCCAAATGAATTTTCGCATTTTCGGATTTAACAAATGAATTTTTGTAATGTAGTGTTCCTTAATATACTATCAACTCACCGAACCCAAAAATTTTATTCATAAGCAGATTTTCGGGGCTATGCGAATGGATTTTCCTCTTTGTAAGCTTTTTTATATTTTCTCTTTACAAACAGGAATCGACAGCACTACGACTTCAATATGTATGCGGTAAAGGAGTTTATTTTGCAACTACAACTAAATCAAAACACTCCTAAAATTTGACCACTTCTGAAAAATAACATCACAATTCCCAGGTAGAAAACTCTAACATACACAAAATAATTATAGCACAGCTCAATCGATGAAAATCTCAACTACTTAAACCTAGAAAAAAATAAAAAGAATGAACCAATTAGTATATACAGAATACACAAGCACTGCAACCGCAAGATCAATATGATCACTGCATCATTATTCTGAATTCTTCAAAGCTGATCACACCATCCCCATTCAAATCAAACTGATTGATCATCACTTTGCACTCATCAATTGACTTGGATTCACCTAATCTGCTAAGCATTCTCTTCAAGCTTTTGGGTGTAATGAACCCACATCCTTCCACGTCATACACTTGAAAAGCATCTCTTAATCCCTTCACTCTCTCCTCTTCTTCCCCACCTTCCATCAAACACACAAGATCCTCCAAACCCAGCAAGCCATCTCCATCTGAGTCCAGCAACTCCACTGCAACCTCTGCCTCCTTTTGCAATAACTCTCCACCCACCAAGCCTAGTCCCCGCTTCAGCTCCGAAGGC